AGGGTGAATGAAGTAGCGATTTGGACTGAAATGTACACACAGGAGAATTCCTTTGTGGCCATAGGATTTTTTTATCATATCAATAGCAAAGGCACTTTGGAGCATATACACTTGGACACACGATTTTATCGAGTTGACAGCATTTAGTAAGAGCCTTTATTATAGAGTGTCACTCGGCCGCACAGGTATTTGATATGCAATGTAATTATTTCACAGCATAATACATATTGTATATGTCACATACTAACATATGACACATAAAATATAATTATCTGTGATATATAACATAAAATTATAAATTAAACATAGCATGACTAGGTATAATACATATAGCGTATTATACCTAGTATATATATTATATATTATATATTTTATATATTTTATTCTATATTCTATATTTTATATATGTATCATATAGACAGCTTGTAGTTTGTCTTATTTCTCCTTTGGCTAAATTTCTCCTTACTTCTTATGAAGTTTGCCCATTTTGAAACTCATTAAGTGACAGTCTAATCAGGTAAGTATTATTACTCATTAAACAAGTGATTGAGGAGAGGGTTAATGGAATATTTTAAGTGAATTATTCAGAGTAGCTTTTTGTAACCATGTTCCCTCTTTCTGCAGAATAATGGGGAAATTGAAAGTTGGCTGAAAATCACTTTATGCTGTTCATTCTCATTTCCCCATTCTATTTTTGTAAGACGACCTCATCGGCTAGTTCAAGGCTTCAGATGCATTTACCTAAGTCCTCCAAATCCTCAATGAGTGTTTGACCAGTAGGAAAGAGAAAAGCTGGTAAAGTTCGCAAAACAAAGCAAAGCAGAGATACACAAGAAAGCGTAGGGAACTGAACGGGTCAGCAAAGCAGGGCAGTCTCAGGAAAGACTCTGATAAACGAAAGCAGGTGTCCACCAGGTGTCCAAGAACAAAGCCTGCATCTCCCGTCCAGCTGTGCCCCATCTGGGCACTACCACCCCCTTCATGTTAACATGGCTATTGTGGATTTTGGAATAAGCAGAGTGTTACTTGTCTGTAAGGGTGCCATCATTCTCTGTTCTGTCAGAGGAAAAGGTCTCTACCTACATATGCACAGGAAGGGACTCGGAAGTCTCACGTTAAACACAGGGACGCACTTACAGGAAGATCTAGCCAGCATCCCATGCAAGAGCTCGGGAGAGCCAGTGGGGATCTAGACTCTCGTGGTGTGGCCGCAGCTATTTCAGCGTTGAGATTCCCTTCGTACACAAATCTGAAAAGGCACCATGATGCCATGCTTACGATTGTAGGCCACGGCACCGGACTGACGGGTGTCAGTAAACCACAGCTGCAAGATGCCCTAGATATGTGTCCAGGAGTGAAAGCACCTTCCCGAAACCCTGCAGGCTCATCCACAGTGTGGGGAGGGGTCCTGGTCCCTTCACAAGGCTGTTAGAAAGAACGCCCGAGAGCAGCTCGCAGGACGCTGCCTGGCACGCAGCGGTTATCATCAGCATAGGATTGCTAATTTCTCGGCTGCTTTCTGGTTGTGTAAAAACCTTCACATCTATTTTCTCACTTGCTCCTCACTACCGCCCGTGGTGTTGCCATTTCTGGTATTACTATTACATATGTTTTAGAAAAATGCTTGTCTTTCTAACAGTCTTGCAGCTGTTGAACTAATTGGTTAAGATCTTTCAGTCAGTAGTAATTGGTGAGACTGGATTAGAGCCCAGGGCTCCATATTTTAGAACATGTGTCTGGTTCACTGTTGTCAACCTCTGTGCGTGTGTGTGTGCGTGTGTGTGTGTGTCTCCTGCTCCCTCAGAATACCAGCTCCATCTAGTTTACCATTGAAATATCAATTGACTTACACATGCTTCTATTTTCGATGATATATTAGATTAATTTCACTATTTGTTGGTGTCACCATTACGATTTCACATTTCGTGTGGGTTTACACTAGGACTTTTGAATTAAAACAACTTTAGAGCTGTGGTTTAATTAAGTCTGAAGACAAGATTATTTCTTTTTAAAACTACTCTATTGATGTACAATTGAAGTACAATAAACTGTGCATGTGTGCAGTGTGAAATCTGGTGGATTCGATATATGCATCTACTTAGGAAACCATCAGCACAACCAAGATAAGGAAATTTGCATCGCCCACAGCAGTTTCCTGGTGCCCTGTAAAGCCCTGCCTCTGCTTCCTCTGTCTCTCCCCTATCTCGGGCTGCCACCGATCGGCTCTGCACATAATAGATAAGTTTGCATTTTTTAGAATTTTATATAAATGAATCATACGACACATCTGGTTCCTTTTTTGTCTGGTTTCTTTCACTCAGCAGAGTACTTTGAGATCCGTCCACATCATCACAGGGGTCCACAATGCATTCCTTTGTCATTGTATGGTTATCATTGTAGGAACGTTCTACAATTGTTTATCCATTGACCCTGTGGATGGACATCGGACTGTTTCTAGCTTCGGGTGTTACAAATAAAGCTGCTAAGAACACTGGCCTACAAATCTTTGTGTGATTCTACGATGACATTTCTCTACCCAGGGATCTAATTGGTGAGGCTGTGTGGTTAGGGAGGTATGTCTTCAACTATGTAAGAAACTGTTGAACTGCCTCTCTAAGTGTTTCACTATTTTACATTCCTACCAACGTGTATGGCGCTTTCGGTTTCTCCAAGTTTTACCATCACTTCGTAGGTCAGTTTTAAAATTTTGGTCATTCCATTTGGTGGGAGTGGTATCTTGCTGTCGTTTTAATTTTCATTTCCCTGATGATGAATGACTATGTTTTCTAAATGCCTAAACGCTATGTGTGTATCTTCTTGGGTGAAGTCTGTTCAAATCTTTGGCTCACTTAAAAAGTTTGGTTGATAGTCTTATTGAATTCTAAGAATTCTTTCTATATTCCAGATACAAGGCTTTTATTGGGTATGTTTTGCAAATATTTTCTTCCAATCTATGGCTTGCCTTTTCATTTTCATGAGAGAAACACATAGGAAGGTTTACCCCGAGGTCTTTCTCTCTGGGACACCCTCCTTGTCTTGGATTTGCTGCCAACAGCTTGCCTAGAGTGGCGGGCGCTGTGTGGCCTTAGTGCACAGCCTCTGCCTGCTGGGCTGGAGTTTCCCTCGGTCTGAGCGCAGGGCCCTTCCTCTTCTCCGTGGCCACAGCCCCGACAGCCTGCATCCTGTGTCATCCACAGCAGGTGATGCCTGGCTGAGTGCTGGGATAAAGATGTGCTCTCGGAGTCTGCGCTCACAGAATCAAAGACTTCAGGGGAATAATGATACTTTTTTTTTTTTTAAACAGAAAGTTTAATTTTAAAGATTATTTCTTTACGTATCCTGAGAGAGAAATGGGGAGGGTCATTGTCTGTTCTCTCCCAAGTCAGGGCCATCCCCGGTCGTGGGCACACATGGCTACTGTGGACGTGAAGCCAGGACCATTCCCCTGGGGCTCCAGTTGCATCTCCACTGGACCACCACCTGGGCCCAATAATTACATTTTAAAAATCCCTTAGTATGGGCCAGCAGCCTGGTGGTTAAGGTGCTAGACTCGCACACAGCCAACAGTGGTCTTAGTCTGGACCTGGCAACTTGAAAATCATGCCAGGTACATCTGCATGCATGCCCAAAATCCCAAGAGGAGAATGGAAGAGAAGGGATTGCCATGTGGCCATCCTCCTGAGGAGTAATTTCTCACTTTCCCTCTCCCTGTCTCTCTCTGGGGAGCATGAGCCTTGTGACAAAAAATTTAAAAACAAACAAGCAAACCCTTAGTACACTCTAACACAATGTAGGCACCAGGGGAGAAAACAAAGTATGACTAATTTGGCTGAAGAATCCAGTGATTCATATTTATTTATCAAACAGCCACCGTGTATAAGAGTCTTCTCTGTGACCCCAGTGGTCAGAAAGGAGCCTGAACCACTGACTACAGATTCCGGAAGACTGACACTTCACATTGATTCCGGGACATGGACAGGGCCTGGGATAGTGTGGTTAGAATAGACCCAAGTGAAGCTCTTAGTTGTCAAAGTCCTCCTATTTAGTTCAGAAAACTTTCTAAGATGATTTGTCTCGCCATTCAATAGCTTAGGCTTCTTCCCAGCAAACAGGGATTTTTCTTACCCTGCCCCCCGAGAATACATATGACTTTCTTCCTATGACCTAAGCACCTTTCAATACCCTCTTTTTCTTCTGAATTTACATAACTATTAAAGGGAAGTTGTGACGGTTAAGGAATACCAACTTGGTGATTATTTTGTATCACATGTTCGGACAACCGCATCTCAAATGGTGAGACTATCTCTCCCTTTCCGATAAGTGCATTTATAGACTCAGTGCTTAGACCACCCATTCTCTGTGCTCTGGAATGTCCTAGAAGTCATTTCACAGGTTTGTCCTCCAGTCCCTTCCCCTTCTCTGCTGACCGTTTAGTTCTAAACACAGGAGTTACCCCCTTGGGATAGATTCCTAGCCTGCTTTCTCTGCAGGAGGGAAATTCCAACAGGAATCGGGAAGGACCCATGGCCTGCCCTGGCGGCCTGCACTGGATGGTACTAGTCATTACCCCGGGGACAAGTTCTTATTCCCAAGATGGCCTCCCTCGGGGAGAGGCATCTGGGTCTTCCCTGGAACCCTTGAGTCAGGCCGACACGGTCGCACCTGGCTTTCTTTTTGTACCAAGTTCAATTATGAATCTCCACCCCCACTTCATACACACTGCTCACTAAAGAATCATGGAACAAGGTTTCTAGTTTTAATTTTTTATTTAGGAAAAAAAAATGCATAGGGCACCATGATAACCAAGTGTGAGTTTCTGTTTTAAACCAGAAACTGCTCTTTTTTGCTTCCAACCCTCTTTCATAGATGTTTATTACATGGTAGTATCACAGTGGGCTCATTTTGCCCTATAGAAACTCGCTGTTTGGGTCACACCTTAGGCTTTCATTTTATGGTGAATGTTAGCTTCTAAAGCAGATCTTTCTAACGCACAAAGTAACTGAACAGAGAGGGAGACTTAAAGAATGCTAGTGTTTGGCTTCCCGACAGGAGAATTTGACTTGAGAGGGTGTGAATCACAGGGAAGGCTGTACTAATAAAGCTGGGCGTCTGCAGGAAGCAGTCTTGGAAGATTTCGGAGGTAAATTCCAATTAGAAGATAAAAGAAAAAGAAACCTCTTGCTAAAACAAGATCGTGTGATGATATTCGCAGCTGGGAGCTCAGCGAGAATGCAGAGGTGATAATAAAACACAAGTGGAGAAGGGACACGTTAAAGAACTAAATGAATACAGAGGTAAGGTAAAATATTTTAAATCATATTTAATGAGCCTAAGATAGAACAAGCCTAGAAGCAGAATGGAAGTGCTGAGAAAAAAAGAAAAGAACTTAAATACCCGTCTTCCCTAAAAGGAGGGGGGTGGCAGAGATGAGAACCCTGCTCACAAATGGCCGCACTGGGGAGGCAGGGCACAAGCGTCCTGGAGGTAGGAGGTGGAGAGAAGAGGGCGCCCCTTTCTGGCCTCGCCTCCCTCTTTCCCCCATTTTTCACAGCTGCTCTTCTGAGTTGATTATTCACGTGTAAGTGCCTGGAGTCATCTTCAGCCCCAGCCTACCTGCGGGGTGACTTGTCGGTGTGCACTGAGCTGTGGCGGGCAGGCCAGCACGACACATCACTGATGGATCACCTCTCCCCGGGTCCCCAGTCACACACCACGGGATGCCACACTTCACTGTTGAGGTTAAAGGGTGCGTTCCACAGCCAGACTGGAAGCACTGTGAGAACCATGACTCCAGGCCATTCTGCTTCTTCTTCTTCTTTTTTTTTTTTTTAAATTTTCTTTCTCTTTTTCTCTCTTCTCTTCTCTCTCTTCTCTCTTCTCTCTCCTCTCCTCTCCTCTGTCCTCTTCTCTTCTCTTCTCTTTCTTCTTCTTTTCTTTTCCTTGAGAATTTCTTGCTATAAGGCCCATGTTCTCAGAGGACAGAAAGCAAGAAATCACCCCCTGGGGCGAATTGTCACACTGCAATCCCTTCTCCTCCATTCCCCTCTCAGGATCTTGGACACGCACGCACAAGCACCTGGCATGAGTTTTAAGCCGCCAGATCTAGGACTCAAACCATGGTTGATTACGTGGGAGCCTAGTAAAGTAATCATTCTGCAATCTGCTGGTCCCTATTCTTCTTTGCTTTATTCATGGCACCCAACAAATTGCTGAAAAAAAAAATAGAATATAGCCCAGAAATGAATGAAAGTCAGACACATCTGTCTCAGAGCTGTGGGGGTTTCTGGAAGGTCGTTTGGAAAATGGCTATCCAGATGTGGGCGCCGTGTCTGGGAGGTGGGTCATCCTGGTAGCCACACTCTGAGTTCTGTCACTGCACAGGGCAGTTGTGCCTCCTTAGTGCCCATGTTGTGGCTATTCTTTGCAGGGATGGAGGAACTGGGAGGCTGCCTTATTTACTTTCTCGTAACTGCACACATGCAGCCATGCCTCAATATTAATGGATTCACACTGCAGAGGAACTAGTGGGAAGGGTGAGTTACAGCTGGATGGGGTGTTCTGGGGCTGGCTATGCAACTCATGTCTCTGTGCCTGAACTCCCAGTAGATGAGTTTTACCATACTTGGGATTTTAGATTAAATAGAGATTTTTCACTTTAGCAAGTTAGGAATCAATGTGCTGAGAAGAGCTGAACATTTATCTGATTAAAGGATGTGGAGACGCATGGCTGATTACATAATATACTGTTCAGATCGGTGTTCTTTTTTTAACCAGCAGTTCTTTCGTGTGATGGGGTTAACCCTCTCTTATTGGAAAGTCTGGGTCTTGTTCTTGGCCCTGAATATTTAACTTTTGGATTCTTGTTTATTATTATTTTTATTTATAAAATTGTTTTGCGATAGTGTCTTGCTATGTTGCGATCCTCCTGACTCAGCCTCTCAAGTAGCTGGGACTACAGCACCCCACCACGCACAGCGTTGCTTTCCGAAGTCTTGAGCCTCACCCAGCCTGTTCTGCTTTTGAACATGAGTGCCTGTAGAACACGTCTTAGCTCAGCGCCTCTTCCCAGCAGTAGTAGGCATGCTATCATTGATGCATCAGCCGCGCCTGCTGATGTGGACGTTACTGTTTACTGTTATGGCATTCCCTTCTCCTCGCTCAGTCTCCTCAATTCTGGAGTCCCCTAACTGTAGCCCAGTCTTGAGGGATCACTAGAACAATGCTGGCGATTGTCACCAGGAAGGAAAGAAGGAAGTCTGTATTCATTGTGGACTCAGGTAGATAGGATTCGGAAAGGTAGGAAGAAAAGAACACAAAGGCGCCTGTTTTTTTTTTTTATTTTTAAATAGAGTTGAGGGTGGACCAAAGAGACTGCATAGTGAGATTGGAAAAATGGCCTAAGTTGGGCTGTGGAGAAACTAAATATCAGGCTGAGTTTGGCTGTTCTCCCATTGCTGATGATCTAAGGAAAACTGAGCTGCGGACTGGTATGACACATGCTTAGTTGGGGGGAAAATGGAAGTAAATTGGTGTAGAGCTTGCTTCTTTAAATCCCATACCACACTGGTAAAATGTCCATAAAATAGTTCATTTACACCTGATTTTTCTTTTTCTTCCCCCCTCCCCCCCCTTTTTTTTTTGACAAGGTCTCACTGTGCCACCCAGATCACCCATGAGATTGCAGTCCTCCTGCCTTGCTTCCCCCAGTCGCTGGGTCACAGAATATGCCACCACACCCCGCCTTTAGGCTGGGCCTGGAGTTGAACCCGAGGCCTCTCATGAGATTGCAGTCCTCCTGGCTTGCTTCCCCCAGTTGCTGGGTCACAGAATAGGCCACCACACCCCGCCTTTAGGTTGGGCCTGGAGTTGAACCCGAGGCCTCTCATGTGTTCCTAGCCTACAGAGAACAGTGTTTTAGCAGCACAAGCTACTGCAGCTGAGCCTGTGGATGATTTTTTCTAGCTCATATTCTGAGCTGACTTGAAAAATTTCCCATGACAAGTTTGGCTTTGTTTTGATTGGATGTCTGAGACATTAGGTCTTAAAAACTTCAGCTGACCGTCCTTTCTAAGACACTTTACAAACTCTCCCTGTTAACATCTGGACCGTGCATGTGTGCATGACCTAAACATCCACAGTGGTACTCAGTTCTAAGGTGGCCCTCAGTGATCTGTCTCCTGAATTTACACCTCTGCGAGATCCCCTCCACTTGAGTATTGGCTACTCTTAGTAACAACTTCCACCAACTAGACAATGGCAAATCACGCAGTGTGCTATTTCCACAGTTAGGATATGAAGACTGTGCCTTCTGTTTCAGGTGGCCACTCTCATTCTCTCTCTCAGAATCCTCCCTCTGGGGGACTCCAGTTACTGTGTTGTGAGCAGCCTTATGGAGAGACCTGCATGAAAGAGAGTTGATCTTTCCTGTCAAATGTCAGCATGGGGGCTAGCCCAGGTTTCTTAGGAAACATGCTGGGCACGTGTGTGTGTGTGTGTGTGTGTGTGTGTGTGTGTGTGTGTGTCCAAAACCCCAACAGGACAGAGAACTGGAGAAGGAATGGTGTGACCACATCCCATTGGAGGATGCTAGCTCTCACTCCTTCTCTCTTTCTCCCTCTGCATGTGACGTTGGAATGGGGGAAGAGGACTTGAAGTCTGCGAATAGCCACAAGAGTGAGCTTGAAAGCAGATCTCAAGATGTGAGCCCTGTGAAGACTATAGTCCCAGCCTATGCCTGCACTGCAGCCTCTGAGAGACTCTGAGCCTGAGGACCCAGCTAAGCTGGGCCTAGATTTCTGACCCACGAGAACTGTGAGATAATAAATGCTTTTGTTTTTTCTAAGTGTTTGCCATAAGGTACATGCACTTACTGGAGAGAGACAGAGAGAGAGAGGAAGAAAGTGAGAAATCAACCTGCAGGCAGATGGTCACACCAGTCTCTTCTCCATTCTCCTCCTGGGATTTGGGCATGCGTGCACGTGTACTCAGTGTGATTTTCAAGTCATCATGGTCCAGGACTTGAGCCATAGTTGGTCATGTGGGAGTCCAGCACCTTAACCAAGATGTCACCTGCTGGCCACCCAAAACAATACAGTCGTAGCTGGCACACACAGGGCAGACCTGAAGCATGGCTGCTGCCGCTGTACTCGAAGCTACTACCTTAGTTGGGGGTAAATTTTCAATCAACCAAAGGTCAGTCAACAGCTAGCACTGTTTTAAACGTAAAGTCCACACTGCAGAGGAGTAATTTATTCTAAGTCGTTATTTGTTATTTACTAGTATTGGGTGACGCTTCCTTCCATAGGCTACAGTCAGCATAGCAGGAGCACGGTCAGAGCCTTAGGGATGCTGGGACTGTCTTGAGGTCCAGGCTCCCGCCCCGGCACCTTCACAGAAAGGTCATACAGCTCACAGGGAGGGTTTTCCGGCCAAAGCTGGTCAACCTGCAAGACCCAGAGAGTTTCTGGGAAGACTAAGTGCTTAGGAGTTTAGGAGCTGGTCTTTTGAACTCAGAGTATTAGCGTTTTCCATACGATTGCCATGCTACTGAGTTGTTCGAAAAGTCATGATACATCTTTGCATAGAAGAACATAAAAAAATACATCATGACTTTTCTGATGACCCAATATTGTTCTCAAAATAGCAAGTCACTGGGACCTACTTGTCCCAGGTGAAGATGAAATTGGTACACTGCAACTGAGCAGCTGTTACAACAAAGGGCAAAGATGGCACGTTTGCTTCTAGCTCCTCTAGGACACATTCAGCTTTGGGGAAGACCTATTCATTTTTGGAAACAGACTTTATGATATTTTGACTAAAAAAAAATAAAAGAACAAAACCACCTCTTTTTGTGAGAGATCTAGAATTGTCTTCAGTTTGATATCTGCTGGAATTAAATGTAGCTATGAACTAGAAGTAGAAGTAACCTTATCTTCATCTCTAAAAAACTTAAAAAAAAAAAAAAAAAAAAAAAAAAACCTCAGCCGAAACAGTATTTTTCATGTTTTATTTTAGTTTCTCTGAAATGCCAACTCAGGACTTCCCACCAACAGTAGAATAAACATTTCTGTTAGTAACTGCTAAGTAGAATAACAAAGTGAATTTAGGCTCTGATTTCACGTCGCTGGAGTTCGTTTCCCACCCTCTCATTCAGTAGCTCTGTAGTCTTTCAGTCCTCAGTTTCTCTTACTTGTACCAAAAGTATTTGGTTCATAGAAAGTTGGGAAAGATCAGTTGAGCTGCTCTTAAAACCATGTCAGCTATAAGGTTTGTGCTTCATGCATATCCTAAGAAC